ATTACCTATTAAGTGGTTTAATTTATTTTCGTGGTTGGTTTTTTTTAATTACGTCATGATGTAAATATGAAATAAAACTTTTAACTACACCAGTAGGTAGGCTGTAACAACAACTTATAATTATATTTTTAATTTTTTCAATTATTAATTCAATTGATAAAACCTCTTTGTTGCAATTAGAAACACTCATGTCATACCTGTTTAATAATTTCAAATATTACTTCACGTAAATAGTCACGTCGCCACCACGTTTTTTCAGTTTTTTATGCTGATGATATTAATTTATATCCTGGTGGGTTAAAATTAGAGATAAAACAAACATCATTAAAATCTATGGCCCTATTGTTTAAAACATTTTTACAATAAAATTTTTACTATCCCAGTAAACACACAACGTCTAAAAGACGTCTAAAAGACGTCTCAAACGTTTTTTAGACGTCTTTAAGTCGTCGTGTGTTTACTGGGATGTAGCTACATTGTATACATTGTAAAGTTACACAGTCCTATAAAAGTTTACGGCAATTGAAACATATTATATTTACATAAAGTTTTGAAATAGATTTTTCAAAGTCATCAGCTGAGTGTGGAATTTCAAAGGATTAAATTCGTCGTTTGTATTTTGCGGGATTTTAATTAGCTTAATTAATTAGCTTTGTGAATTTTTGTTTGTGATTTAACAATTGTAAAAGAGCGAATTTTTAAAATTTTCCACACGTTGTCCCAAAAACTTTGGTATTATCGCGTATTTTTTATATTATGTGTTGCTAGGACAGCTTTAAAGAAGTTTTTACGAGAAAAGATATATCTTTTGCAAACTCTTATAGAATTTGTGTTAATCGCTCTACATTTAAAGAGACAGCCCAGTGGGCACTAACGTAAAAAAGACGTCTTTTAAACAATTTATAAACGTTTTCAATGTTTTTTGAACGTCTTTTAAAAGTTTTGGACGTCTTTTGAACGTTCAAAAGACGTCTTTTTTAGTTCCGATGCTCACTGGGAGCAGATTTATATAAAGATATATAAATCTGCTGTCTCAAATCTGTTCAAAATTGCCTTTTTTTTTCAATTTAAAAAGTCAATTGATGAAGATATTCCTTTGATAAAAGTTAATTTTCTCAATAGAGGAAAGTAAGCTATAAGTTCCTTTATACCAAGCAAACATTTGGTCTAAAAATGTCCCAGTGGGAAAAAAAACATCTTTAGACAAATAAAAGACGTCTTTTTTATGACTTGTTATGTCTTTTTATAATCAGCCGAAATAAAAACGTCTTTTAAAAAGACGTCTTTAAAAAAGAGGTCGAAAAGACGTCAATCGGTTGTTAATAAGGAAATCATTATTTGCTTAAGAAAATTAAAAATAATTATTGCCAATAGAACCTAACAAAAATGGGTTTTAACCCACAGTATCGTAATTACGATATCTTTGTTACGTTCTGATTGGCCCGTTTTTTGTTTACAAAATACTTTTATATAACTTTTATGTCAAACGTTTTTGCATAGGAAATTTAATTAAAAATTAACTTTTTTCTGTAAGCGGGTTTACTTAATAATTTAAATAATATAATATTTATATAAAGTAATATATTATGTAAAATATACATAATATAAATGCATATATATATATATTATAGTATATATATATATATATATATATATATATATATATATATATATATATATATATATATATATATATATATATATATATATATATATATATATATTGAAATAAATATACAATTGCAGCTTCTTAGCTAAAAAATGTTAATCGGAAGAAGCAAAAGTGGATGGCGTGGTGCCAATAAGATGGTATCAATATGATCTAGTCTCAATTAAGTTAGTTGCAGGTAAGTGTTTTAAAAAAGTTTTACCATTTATTTTTAGACTAATTTTTAAATGTATTGTGCTTGAAGAACGTTGTTTATTACATATTAAATTTAAATATTTATTTTCAGACGAAAAATAAAATCTGTAAACAATTTCTCTCTATATTTACTTGTTCAAGCGAACGATAGAAAAAAAGAAGCATTCAGTAGCAATTTTTTTTTTTTTTTTTTTTATGTATGATCTGAATAATTTTGTTATTTTTATTTAGTTGAATGATAAAATTGTTTATACAAAAGATTGGTTCTTCAACTTTTATGCTAAATATGTTATTTCCTTGTTAACCGTTGTCTGTCATTAATAAAGCAATTATAAAAATACACACAATTACAACAGATTTATCTTTAGAAATGTTCGCAAAATTTTTGGTTCAGATACAAAAAACCAAGTGAAAATGATACTAAAAAGGTACACTTTCTTATATTTAAACATCATTGCAGCTTTCTAGTCCATTTTTGTTTATGTGTATTTCATCTGTGTTGCTAATGATATCGCCAGTTTTTATGATTTTATGTTGTTAAGTAAAGCATCCTTATGTTTCAGGCTAAAATAGAGCTTTGACTAATACTTTTTTCTAGTTTAAATGAATAACAACTCTCAAGGTGTATTAGCTGAATTATCTTTTTGTTTTGATAGTCTTTAGTCAATAACGGGTTTTTTAATTGTTATGAGTCTACAACACTTAATTTCAGCGAAATTCAATTAAAAAATCATTTTATAGAAGACAGAAAAATATCAATATCTGTTTTCAATAACTTGGCTTTCATAGCAAATCTGAGAGGTGCAAATGTTTAGCTTGAATTAAGTGCTACATAATAAAATACATCGTTGTACAGTCATTTTGATGGTTGTAAATTTATTTAGCACACTCATTTTTATATATTTTTAGACTGTTTACCGTTTAACTCCTGTCCCAATCTAACCTAGTGGGTTCAAAAAGAAGGGACCGCGCTGGAAACATGAATGGATTAAAAGGATCAGCCCTTTTTGAATTAATAGTCGGTAAGTATAATGTGCTCCACTTAGCTAATCAAGTTTCGTTTGCTTTTTTTGTATTACATTTAAGCAATAGACTGTTTTTTATGCTCACTCGTTTTTTAGAAGTGGTAACCAGCTAGAAGTCGTAACCTGCTCGTATGGAAGGATTTCTCGACTTGAAATTGTTAATTTTATTCAATAACGCCAATAAACAGAGCTCGCTCAAGAAACAGAAAAGAAAGAGAAAGATGAAAAAATATTCTGTTGAACAATACTATTGTTTTATTTATAAATTATTCTCCTATATTTAAACATATAAAAGATGTAGAAAATGCTTCCTTTTTTTATATTGACATCTAAAATAGGTTTTTTTCTCGGCATCGGAAAAAGATTTTTGTCATACTTTTCATGAAGTTATCATTTTCATTTGAAAATAATAGCTTTTCATATAAGAAAAGTAGGAATACTATAGTGTATATGATACTATAGTATACTAATAAGTTGGCAAAAAATTAGTTCCAACCCCGAGAAAAAACACTTTTTTAGATTTGCATATTCGACTAAAAAAAGGCGTCTTAAAGACGCATTTTTTATGTCTTTTCATGACAAGATTAAGATAAAAAAAGACGTCTTTTCGATGTCGGAAAAAGATGTCTTTTAGATTTGCATAATCGATTAAAAAAGACGTCTTAAAGACATCGTAAATAAGACTTTTAAAGACGTCTTTTCGACGTCTTTTTTCCCACTAGGGTTGTCTTTTAAACGTATTAGACGTTTTTTATACGCTTAAAAGATATCTTTTTTAGACCTGAGTAGAGGTAAATACACTACAATTTTCCTCTATAGAAAGAAAGCTACATTCTATTTTTATTACGTTATGATCTAAAACATCATTAATTATTATGAAATAACTTTTCAGTTTGGCGCCACATATCTAATAGTTTAAACACATCGAGAGTTTATCTTTTTTCTCTAAAAAAGTAGAATCTTTACGTCTGTTTGCCGCAAATTCTAATAATGAAACTTAATATTAAAAAATTAAGGTGCAAAACTCGCAATTGCCTTTTTTTGTTAATTCTTAACTTTTGAACACTGAAAGGTTGTAAGGTGAAATTAAAAATCTGTTGATGAATTTATATTCAGCTTCACGTCTAGGCAGTGGGTAGTTATTATATTTATTTTTTTAAAGCGTTTTTGTTTCCGAGTTTTGAGAAACCATCGCGATTCTTTACAAATCATTATAATACCTCTTAACAGTAATAGTACTGAAACATGGACGTTTTCCCAATGTCATATGTTGAATAGCGAAAATTATGTGGGCGCCTTTTGTACAAATATATGTGGGCGCCCCTTGAAATGGATGTGAGCGCCCCTTTGTACAAGTTTAATTCAAAAAACTAATTATTACATTAGTTTTTTGAATTAAACTTGTACAAAGTTTAATTCAAAATCATTTTGTTTTTTAGTTCTTCAAAAAGTATTTTTTTAAATAATAAATATATATTTTAAATAAGATTATGTTTCCTGGTAAGATGTTTTAACAAATTATTGATCTATTGGTCGACAATCGTAAATGACACCACACCGCAAAATACTGCGTTGCGTTGTAATGGTCTGTATATGTACAAAAAATATACATTTAAAAAATTTTTTAAAACAAATTACGTGGAAACCAATGTTGTTACTATTTCCTATTAATTAAACAATCCAAATGTTGGTTGCATTACTCAGTTGTTTTTTTTTAGAAAAATTGTAAGTTATTACAAATAGGTTTGTCGTTGAAATTCACACGGGCTGATTCACATATAAACTTTAATTTAATAACAAAACAGTATTTGAGTTTAAAAGCCAATACAACCATGTTTTATAAGCTAATACAATAACAGTGTTTTATTTGTAATACAGTGTTTTCTCATTTAAAAATTAATGATTTATGTTTGATTGGCAGTCGAAAACGTAAAAACAAAAACTTGAATTTTTTTAAGATTTGAATTTATTTTTTAGTACGCCAAAAAATAAATCTAAATATATTTTTTGGCGTACTAAAAGAATCTATCAAAAATCCCTGTAAAATTAAGTGAATAAACCTATAGCCAACTTGGTTTACATTATAAAAATAATAAATAGCCTGAACAATATAAAAACATTCAAATATACTTTTAAATGGTTACAAAGTTTTTATTGGTTCACTGCATAAAAATACCCATAAAAAAGTACTCATCAACATTCCCAGACCCAATACTGGAATTAAATATTAAAAAAATCAAGTTTCAAATGAAAAAAAAATTACTAACATAAAAAGCTCATTAATAAAGTTTACAATTGATAAGTTGCCTCACGCATTGGAAGCAAAGGGACAACCATTTCCAAAAAGTGAATTTGTTCCTGAAAGAGTTGGATTTTTTTCTAATAATGCTTTGAAAAAATCATCTGGTTTGTAATATACGTCAATACTTTCAATTTTCATGTCTTGATTGACCTTTACTATACAAAAACCATACATTTCATACAACTTATTATCGCCATTTTGTTCCATAAATGTACCAGAAAATGTACCCCAATGTCTCCATGTAAACACAACTTTGGGTGGACCTGAAAATACTTTTAAAAGCTCCCAAGGAAAAGAGTTATCAAAACAACTTCTGAACAGAACGTGAGAACTTTCAAAATCTTCTTTTTTGGAATCATAAAATTCAGGATTGCAAACGTTTAACAGCACATTGTAGTTTCCTTCTACAAGGTTTTCTTCGCCTGAAAACTTTTTCCCACCATTAGCACTTATGCAATATGTTTCGTGGTTTACCGTGTTCCATTGTTGAAAATCGATTTTATGAGAACATTCCATTTCCCATGTTTTGACTAAGTCTTCAACAAATTTTTCAATAGATCCTTCTAAATGGTTCATTGTTTTTCCTTTAAAAAACTCTGAATTGGCAAGTGTATAATCGGGTTTTTCTGATCTCCATTTTATGCTTGGATCATCTAAATTTCCACGGTCAGGAAGCAGAAAAGCAATATTTTCCTTTAAACCTTGGTTTTCGTTTTCAATTTTTTTATCCATTCCCAAATGAAACTAAATACATCAAAATTGTAAAAAATTTATAAGTAGTTTCTAAAAATACTTTTAAATACATGTATTAACTGCATTTGTGTTGACGTCACTCTATTAATTGCTTTCAAAATAACATTTTTTACTTAAACTAATTTAACAGCGACCAATCAAAAGGTTTCACCCTGTGAAGTTTGCCTATGGTCATTTTTGAAAAGACCAAAAACATATTTTTATAGAAACATATTATTGAGCTTACAAGCTTATAAGCTAATACGTTTAGAGGTACATTTAAAATTTTTCAAATTTGTCTTTTTTTTGCAACTTTAACAATCCTCATTTGTGTTATAATAATTATATTGTTGTTAATGACAACACTACTATTATTTAACAAACAAAAGTTTGAAATGTTGCTAAGGTACTGCGTTTTTATTAAAAAGGAATGAATTATTCATATGTAGGTGCCGCGTTAATAAAGTCCAGATTTCTATTAATAACAAACTTTTTTTTTTTTGTGGGTTACATCTTTTTATTACTTTTATTATTTTTGTAGTTTTATTTAAAAACAAATATATTGATAGCAACAAAACTAAAAATACGTTCCTATTAATATATTGTAATAATATCTCTAGTTACAAAACGGCGATATGTAGCCATCGGCTAACTACAGATTTCTCGTTATGTTGTAATTAGCTACAATGCACAGTGGGCCAAAATTATCTAAAAATGGCAAAACTATTTAAGGATTCAATATAGACATATGATACATGTTTATTAGCGTTTTTGAGGCCAAGAATTTCATTTTCGGGCTCCATTTTAAGTTTGAAGTAGTCATAACTGCTCAAATAAACATTTTTCGGATGGTCAAAGGTGGTCCTGAGATGTCCCGATAGTTTTTCAATTAGATGGAACAGCTTTGTGTCTAAATATAGGTAATTGAAGTTGGGGAGTTTAAATTTGAGCATATTTGGTCTCCAGAAGGTGTGGCAATGGCTTGTCAAGACAGATTTTTTTTCTTCAATTTTATTTTACGTACTTAATTTATAATAATAACGTTCATACATATAACGTTCAAACATATAACGTTCAATAAATTGAACTTTATTAACATAATTTTATATATATATATAAGAATCTAGGTGATGGCATACATCATACATAAGTGCATCAAGAGCTCCTTAGCCTCCTCAGATTGATTGGAGAAACTAAATACCCTTTTTCTCGTAAATAAACTAATTTCTTTTTACTAAACTAAATTTTTATTTTTGCATAAATAAAAACTCTTAGAATACATAAATCCAAAAAATAAATCCCTTCCATAAATCATCTTTTTACAAATATTCACATAAAAGAAACATAACACAATAATCCACAAAAACGTACATTAAAAAACCGCTTCAACATAACAAAAACAATTACTAATAAAAAAACTAATAAACTAAAATCATATTGTCACAGAATGTTCCATTACTTTTAAGACAAATGCTATTTAAAAAAGGTTTTAACAAGGTTTAAATGACTAAAAATCTAAAACCTATCTTTATGCGTCTTCTTCAGAGTTTAAAAACATCCAGGATTGGGTATCATTTATAATAAAAAGCCCAACTCCTACTGCTCTCAACTGAGCTCAGAAAATTTGGTTGTAAAGATTTTTTGGTTTTTATGTGGTAAAAGATACTTTGTTAGCTCATTTCTCACAGGGGATACTCTTAAAAAGTGTTAACAACCAACAACAAATCATTTAACTCATTTATGGTAAATAATTGTACTGTCTTTAGAGTAAAAATGCAATTTGAAAGTACCATGCAATGGTACTTTCAAATGGTACAATGGTACCATGCAATGGTACTTGACAATTCAAGTACCATTGCATGATTATTTTGTTAAACAACCATCACAAATGAAATGAGGTAAGGAATCAACAAGCACAACTAAACACAGAAACAAAAAATCAATGGTTTAATATAATATTAATAATACTATTAATAAAGCATTTTCGATTTTGTCTTAAAAAACCTCTAATAAGAACAAGAAAATAGTTCAAGAATATTTGTTTATAGAGTATAAAATATTCTAGAGTTAGAGACTAAGAAAGTATTTTGAGTTGAGAATGTTTGAGTTATCGAGATATTCTTTAGTATTAGTAAATATTTCAGTTATTGGAGGTATGAGATAACGGGAGTTTGATGTAATTATTACTAATTACATATGAAACGCTATCATAAAAATTAATATTACTACCTAAAACGAGGTCTTGTCAACAGTTAATTTACTGAAAATATAATATCAAATAGAACATTATTCGGAAATGTTTTGCGCTATTTTTCTGATAACGTTTTTTCTTATTTGTCTGATGATGAATCTAATTAGACTGAAAAACGCAAGATAATTGTATAAATTCATCTATGACAGAAAAAATTTAAGTGTTGTAACTGAAAAGATTGAAGAAAATAAAAAAAACAATTAAAAAGCTGAGTTAAAAAAAAAATGTTCTCAGTTAAATCAAGGTTTTATCAACGGACTGACGTTTAATGCATTGTTAAAAAAAATGACTTATTTGTAAAAAAACTTTCACGTCAAAAGAGTTTTCTGTAAAAATGCATTATGTGATATACTAAAATAAATATAGTATTAGAGTTCGCCTACAAATTACGTCACGCGACAGCAGAGGAGGGGGGGAGGTTACCGATTTTGTTACAGGGGGGAGGGGGATTTTCAGTTACAGGACATAAAATTTTTTTTTTCAGGTTTTAAATCAATAAAATCTTTAGAAGTGCCTAGCCTTAAACACACGGCTGCGGCTATTCCAATTTAACATAAATTGGTATTGATTTAGTTTTCATTGAAAATGACTTTTTAAAAATTGATTTTAATTTTAGTTGATTAACTTGAACACATCTATTTGAAAATAAAACGACTTCTTGTTTACAGCATTAAAATATTGAATAAATGACTAAAAACCTCTTATTTTATCTTTTCGTAAATAGTAAAAACGTTAAAATTAAAGTTTTCACATTAGTTTTCACTCATAGCAATTTACTACAGTAATCTCTTCATAGAGGTTTGAATAAATTACTAAACAAAAACGTTTCAGTATTTATATAACTTCTGCCCCATAGTATTAAGCTGAAACTTCAAACTCGTAGATAATAAAATCACCGAACATTTGTAAACTAAATAAAACAACGAGCTTCATGATTTTTTTAAAAGAACAAACCAATCAAAACGCGCACAAAATAAAACGGCATTTTTTAAAAGCGAAAACGACTAAATTCTATATTTTTCTTCGGATCTTTTTAACTACGCTGAGTAACCTTTGTTAGCCGCGCCTCAAAATTTGTTGTTTTGATCATCCAAGACACTGCGCGAGTATTTTTGATAATCCAAAAAATTGAAGATTCAAACGTTTTTTTGTACAAATAGTATTTTTGCAGGCCATTTGAACGCGGGAGCAAATAATGGCTTTCAAAGTAATATTAAATAATAATAAATAAAATTTATATGTATTAAACTGCATTCATTCGGTAATTATAAGCAGCAAAAAAAAAATGTACATTTAACAAAAATTTTTTTTGTAGTTTTAAATACAAGAGTAATAAATATTAAATACGCATTTAATATTTATTATTATTGTATTTAAAACTAGATAAAAAATTTTTTTTGGGGGAGGGGGTACATATATATTGCGTAATTTAAGGGAAAGAAGGAGGACGGGGGACTGGTTAATCAGTAAGATGTGACGAGATGTTACTAGGGAGGTGAAAGGGTGAGTGGAGTTGTCCTAATTTATCGAAAATTGCGAGACGTAGTTTATGGACGATCCCTTATAGCCAGAATAAACCTGGTTATATCTAAGAAATAACCGGGCTAAATCATAGGTCAAACTAAAAAAACTGTTTGTAACCACTGCTATTTACATTATACTAATCTCTTAAGGATTTAAATTTAAAAGATATTACTCATTTTTGACAGAAATCAAAACTTTATTTGTAACTTAATTTTTTTTTTAATTTTTTTTTACAAGCTTTGAATGTATTGATTATATAAACTTTTTGTTATTTAATTACACAAAAGTTATAAAGGAGTTATTAAGTATACCGAAATTTTAAAAGATATATATTAAAATATATAAGTGTATAAAAAATATATATTTAAATATATAATAAAATATAGTAAAAATAACATTTTACATGAGTTTTTTTTTTTGAATTGAATATTTGAAACGTCATTTAAAGTATAATTAAAAGTTTCCCGCTAATTTCCACACTGTTTATGAATAAATAATATACTACCCATTTGCATTGATAAAAACACGCTAAACCATATATTAAAAATATTCGTATAGAAAAGCATTCATTTGTTTTACATAAACATGGTACATTTGGGAAACTTCATCGAAACAAATAAAAACATTGACACCATGTCAGCATTTCCTGTTTTTAGACTTGCGGAATCGTTTATCTAAATATTCACATGTTTTTTAGACTTGTCTAAATATTCACATGTTTTTTAGACTTGTTAAATATTTATACTTATTTTTGTATAGATTTAAAACGGATGAATGGATGAAATAAACGGATAAATGGATGAAATAAACGGATGAATGGATGAAATAAACGGATAAATGGATGAAATAAACGGATGAATGGATGAAATAAACGGAGATTAACGGAGAGATGAATATGTAAAACAAGTATAGTTGGCATAAAGTTAACGCTATAGCGTGTATTTTATGCGAACGGTATGTTATGTAATGGTATACCATTATATAACATACCGTTTTATACAGTTTGCATCCCATATCGTAACCAGTTCAAATTTCAACTGTAACCAGTTGGAAAGCCTCGTTAACTCGCAGATTTCATTTCAGCGGTATCATTACACTATTGAACACATTTTTTACCGAGATCTTTTGCCAGTCAAGACCTTATCCCAATAGTTCAGATAAATTCCAGGTGGGGCCAGGTTGTTTCAATTAACTTGAATTAATACAATTAATTGAAATTATTATCAAAATCAAATATTATAGACATAAGAGAGTCTTATATTTAGGGTAATAACTAAAAATATTGCATTTTGGCAATTCTAGGTTATTGTACATCATCATGATAGTTTTTAATTATGTGTTCAGTATGTTGTCCACTTCTTGATCACCAGGTGCTGGTTACTGATCAACATTATAATTAACATTTAGTTTCTTGATGTCAATTTTCTTAATCATTAT